TCGTCTTGTGATGAATATGTTTATTGTCTGACTGTAAAAGCTATTTGGGATACTAAAATTATTGCTTGTTTGCAGTCATGTTTTGCTAATATAATAGTAATTTGACAAATTTTAATCACAGTTTGCGAAAAATGGAGTAATTTGGTTGCTGATCGGACTAAAAAAGTTAAATATTTTATTGGTAAGATTTAGAAATTTTGATTAATGTTCATTCTCATTGTTAACCCTTTTTCTAATAAAATCAATGATCACTTTCAGACCGACCAAATTATTCGCCTGATTCTGTTTTTCAACAATCAGATGAGCCGATTGATGTAGCATTTTTGAGCGAATGGTTCCCAAATTTTAGGGTTTGTTCACAGATTTAAATCATTTCACTTCCATTGTTTTTTATTTTTATTCAATTTTATCATTACAGATTTTCGACTTGTCACACCCATTTTTTGAAAAAACACCAAAGAAAAATAACGTTGAACTGTCCACAGACGCACCGTTTGACACTATTGACACGATGGACTATAGCACGATAGCCAGATTGCTTGCATATGGGGTTTGTTAAAGATTTGATATTTTTTATTTGATTATATTCCGCTTTCATCGTTTTTATAGTTTTTATTCAAATTTCATCATAACAGTTTGACGACTTGGTATTATCCCCTGCTCAGGAAAAATCACCAATCGAAAAGTTTTTCAGTGGCTCAGAATCTTTGAAAGGAATAATTTGTGGAAAATATTTTGATTTCAAATTGATGCCTCAAAAAGATAACCTCGAAATGCTATCTCTCGGATTTATTAATCCAAACAGAATTGTAAGCAATGAAACTGTGAAACAATTGAACCTTTGGGACTCTACGCTAGATTCATTCAAAAAAGTGGCCCATTATTTTCCAAATCTTAAAAGGCTGAAAATTTCTAGTTTTAAAGGTATTTTCATGATATATTACAATTTCATATAATTTTCAGTGACTTTACATAATTGTTTGTTAACCAACCCTTTTCATGTTTAGACAAAATAGATTATTACTCTAATGGTCCAGTTATGAAAAATCTTAAGATAGTTGAACTGTCTGGGTCTTCTCGTCGTTCGCCTTATATATTTTGCAACTCGTTTGTATTCATGGATTCGTGCCCAGCATTACAGAGTGCTCATATCAAAATTGAGCGCGGTCCGATTCTTACCATTTATTCAGTAAAAAATGCAAACTTACAAGATTTGGTTTTACAATTAGTGAGTAGGAGTTTGCTTGAGATTCACTTACAATTTTTTCTCATCGTAATTTTATTTCGTCGCATAGTGTTTTAACAAATTGACTCTTTTCTCTATTCTAATAGTATGCACCAGTCAAATGGAAGAATCTACCCAGGTGCGTTTCAAAATACCCAAATCTGAAGCATTTGTCATTACGAAATTTCTCTTTAAAAGATGAAGACATCAAACAATTGATATTAATTTTGCCAAAATTAACACTACTTGATGTTCGTAAATCTTTTGGAGTCTCTCAAAAAGCTGCTGATCTAGTTCAGGATTATTGTAAGCAGTATGGCCGGTCAATCAAGTTTTATTTCAAAAAAGACGACAAACAAATTGAATCTGATTGGCCGCAGATATTGAATCGACCAGATAAAATTTGTCGTGGATTTGATTTCATGGAACATTGTTTTTTCAAAAGTTTCAACGATTTGCCTCATTTTTTGGATCCAATAGATGATTAGAAATGAAAATGATAACATAATTGTCGATCTTTTTACTTAACTTTTATGAGAATAGTTGTGAGGTTCACGATATTGAAAAATTGTTTAGAGCTATTTACATGGCCATTTAATTGACATTTCAACTGCGTCGACTAGCTGTAATACACCCAAACTTTGGATAATTTAAATTTGCTAAAAACTGAATAAAATTATATGAGTCAAAGTCTTTGGCCCAAAAGTTGAGCTCATTCTTTTGTGTGCTACCGTAATCGTTACAGACATCGTAACAAAAATCTTTTAAAATCATTCTAATATTTTTTTTGACGTTAGATGTCTGTATTCGTAAATGCAAAATATGCAAGGTTTTTGTTTATCTAACACTTATAGATTTATCAACTGTAAACTTGTATTATTTCAAAGTTTTTTTAACAATGTTAATCAATGAGCTTCCAGATGATTGTTTTGTGGAAATATTTGATTACATTCGAGATTTAAAGGATTTAATTAACTGCTTCAAAGGTAAGTGTAAATAATGCAATTTTTTAATTGTGAAATGTGAGAGATGTGGAGATCAAATCACAATACTATACCTTTTGTTAAATACTATATCCAACTATTTTTATATGATTAAAGCCTCTTTTGTTATTCTATGATGAATATTGTTTATCATCTGACTATTAAAGCGCAACATTTGGATATTTTCAGTTTGAAGTTATTTTACTTTATTTTAATTCAATATTATTATAACTTGACTTCAAACATAGTCTGTGAAAAATGGTGTAATTTGATTTTTGTCCGGACTAAAAAAGTTAAATATTTTATTGGTAAGATTTATAAATTTTGATTAATGTTTATTCTCATTGTTAACCATTTTCCTAATGAATTCAATGATCACTTTCAGATCAACCCAACTATTCGCCTGATTCAGTTTGTCATCAATCAGATGATCCAATTGATGTAACATTTTTGAGCAAATGGCTTCCAAATTTAAGGGTAAGTTGACAGATTTGATATTGATTCACTTTCGTTTTTAAAAGTTTTTTTTTATACAAATCTCATCAAAACAGATTGCCGACCTTTTATACACACGCAATGGGGAAACACCAATCGAAGATATTATTAAACTAATTAGAGACTCAGTATCTTTGAAAGGAATAATCTATGGTTGTCATTACTGTATGGAATCCTGCTCATGATTTCGAGTCGATACCGGAAAACCCTAACCTCGAAATGTTATCTACTGGATATATTGATCTAAACATAAAGGAAATCAATGAAAATATGAAACAATTGTACCTATGGGACTCAACTCTAGATGTATTCGCAGAAGTCGCACATCATTTTCCAAATCTTGAACGGTTTAAAATTTATAATGGCGAAGGTAACTTCATTTACAAAAAATCGAGGATTTTTTTGCAAAAACTAACAAAAATTCTATCAAATCTCTGGCTCACTAACTTTCTTGCCAAATCTGGCAACTCCTTATACTTTAATACACAAAAACTTAGTTAATTAGCTAACGGAGTAATGTTTGCAAAAAATAAACTTAAAGGCATGTTTAATTATCGTTTATAAGCCTCGAATATTCATTAAAAGTTGTTATCTCGATGTTATTTTTTCCGACTTCCAAACGCGTTTTTCATGCCTTAAGTCCGCACTGGGAAATTTATGCCTCTGGGGACTTTTACTTGTTTATATGTCCTCTATCGAATGGCACTATCAAATAGCTGGCTCACAATGGGCAGTTTTACATAGGCTTTCTGTCACCCTCCTTTTGCACCGAGAATTTTAATTTTTGTTATTGATTTGATCCTTTATTGCCACTTGGTCAAGTGATGATTTATGAGTAAATTTTGATCGGTTATTTTGAAATAATCATCAGGTACTGTAACTCTTTTTGCAAAAAATCGAAGGTTTACTTTATTATCTTTGCAACTGTTTTTTGACCAACCTTTTCATGTTTAGATAATGTAGCTTATGGCTCTAATGGTTCAGTGTTGGAAAATCTTAAAATAGTTGAATCAGCTGAATACGCTAGCACATGCTGTTCATTTGTGTTCATGGATTTATGCCCAGCATTACAGAGTGCTCATCACAAAATTGATTGCTGGCACAATAACGTCAATGATTCAATAAAACATGCAAGCTTACAAGATTTAGTTATTCAATTTGTGAGTAGGATTTCGCTTCAGATTTACATAGCGTTTTAAAAAATCTTAACAAAAAATCTTTATTTTAATAGTACGAACTAAGCGAATGGGATGATCTATGGAGATTAATGTCAAAATATCCAAATCTAAAGCATTTGGCATTACGAGGTACCTCTTTAAAAGATGAACACATCAAACAATTAATATTAATTTTGCCAAAACTGACACTTCTTGATATTCGTGAATCTCCTGGAGTTACTCAAGAAGCTGCTAATCATGTTCGGGACTATTGTAAGCGGTATAGCCGATCAATCAAGTTTTATTTCAAAACAGACGACGAACAGATTGTATCTGATTGGCCGCAGTTATTGAATCAACCAGACAAAATATGTCGTGGATTTGATTTTATGGAACATTGTTTTTTTAAAAGTTTTAATCAGTTGCCTCATTTTTTGGATCCAATAGATGATTAAAAATGCAAAAGTTAAAATCGTCGATTTCTTTGTATTCAACTTTTGTTTCAGCTGCAAGGGTTACAATAGTGAAAGAAATGTAATCCTTGATATTTCTTCACTATTGTAAACATTATATTAATAAATACTTTGGCATATCGATACATGGAAGCATCAACAATCGATAGTGAAAATGTATCTAAATTTGTCGCATATTCTTCGATTGCATTTAACTTCGAGAGTAGCTCTATTTTGAATAAAATCTGTTTCATAATCGCTTGAAGGATCGAAGACCCGATTTAACCTGTTGATGAAAATTTAATGCTAACGATATCGATAACTTAAGGATAATGCTTTCAATAGATGATTTCGAAGCAAAAATTCCCAAATCTTTAAAATCTTCACTATCTTTGCTAACTTATAAAGTAAAAACGTAAAAACCTAAAGCCAAAAAACGTAGAAACACACCAAAATGAGCTTGAATGGCATGGTAAAGAATGGTCAGGCTCTTTCGAGTCCACCTAAAGCCATACGGCTGAGTGGCTTAATTCAACCCCCCTTGCAGCCGTGGCTATTGTTACAGTTCAGGGTGAATATAAAGCATACAAAGTAATATAATTGTATGTAAATGTATAATACAAGGACATAAATCTAATTTAATATACCGTAATTTTGCATTTGAATCGTGAATTGAACGAGGAAACTGAAGTACAGTGGGACGTACAAAATCTCTGGCTTGTACTTCTTCTTGAGACAGTAAATCTGATAGCTGTAAATCTCAAAAAATTAATAATAAATGCAATCTGTCGTCGAAAAACGACGTTTTCCACGTTTACAAAATCGTGGTAAGAGGGGATTTATGAGAATTAAAAACATCGATATATCTCGATAATCGATGACCACTAAAGCCAGAAAATATCGATAAGCATCGATTTTATCGATAAAATCGCCCAGCGTTAGATTTAACTAGATATTGGTTGAAGTTTTAATATAGTGTTTCGCGATTTTTCTTTTTGGTATGGATCGAAAGAAACGATTTTTTTGAGCAATGTATCGATTATATCGTTCGATACTAGTATCGAAAAGTATCAATAAAAAATCGAAAAATCGAGAAATATCGTAAAAAATCAAGTAACTTTTATTCATATATAATTTTAGATAAAGCTTTCTGGTAGAGAAGAAAGAAAACATAATTTATCAACATTAACAGGCTTTATCCGATTCCTCTTTTCTGTAATAATCGAACCTGCTTTTGAGAAAAGGCGCTCACACGGAACAGAAGTTGGCTGGATAGTGAGGTAACGCAATGCTAGGTTATGTAAATGTGGCCAGTTATCTTTATTATCTTTCCAGAAAATCAAAGGGTTGCTTTTTCTAGGTAAAACATCTGCATCAAGGTAATGTTTTAGACCTGAATGCATTCCTGCAGTTGGATCAGATAAAGCACGAACTCTCTTTGAATGCACTTTCCAGATATTTGGTTCATCTTCATCTGCTTCAATCGGAGGTCTCTGAGAGAGTTCAACTTCAGTAAGTTCACCATTCAACTTAGAGACCATAAGAGCACAGTCAGCAGTGGAGAAAAAGGAAACTTTTTTAAATCTAGGATCGAGAAGTGTGGAATAAGCAAATAATTTATCCTTTTCGATTTCACCGAACCTATTATCCAACCCACGGCGTAAGCTGCTGATGAGATTTTTGCTTATTTCATTGTTCATTCTTTTCTTTTCCAGAATAACTTTGGCACTTGCGATCAACGGAATGATTCTCGATATTGTTATATAACTTTCACCTGAAATATCACATGTTATTTCTTCAAACACTTCCAAAACACTAACAATTTCACCGATACATTCAATTTGTGCATCACTTAAATCGATGTCTCTTTTACCACTATACAATAACACGTGTGATATTTCATTATGTAATTCCATATAACGTTGCAACATATAAAAGGTGGAGTTCCATCGGGTCGCAACATCCTGTATCAATTTGAGTTTAGATAAACCCTTTCGTTCCCGCTCTTGCATAAGTTCACGCATTAATACATCACTTTTCTTAAATAAGGTTACTATCGTTTTAACTGCTGTAACAAGTTGCGCAATTCTGAGATCTTTTTCCAGTGAATCACAAACAACAAGGTTAAGTTGATGTGCCACACAATGAATATGAGGTGCAATGGCTTTGGCAGCTTTCTTAAAATTACTAGCACCATCAGTTGTGAATGAAGTAATAATGTCTGAATTTATACACCATTCATCTAAACTTTCTTTGAAAACTTGCTCCAAATTACTGGCTGTTGCGTCACCATGAAACTCACTTGTCTTTAAACAAACACTCATTAGCTCATAGTTATCAATAAAATGTAAGGTTAAACCTGTGTAATGTATCTGATTACTGACATCTTTCCATCCGTCAGATGTGAGAGATACCCATTTAACATCACTGAGAAAAGTGCACAATTGTCCTTTCTTTACATCATACATTTCACAGATTAGCTTTTTAACTTTATCCTTTTTTGGTGGCTTGTAGTTCCTATTTAGTGCTTTAACAAAATTTTCAAAACCATTTGATTCACCAATACGAAAAGGTAAGGCATTGTTCACTATCCACCAGATAAAATGGTTGTCAACAATTTTCTTCATTGAACCTTCTATTTGTTGATGGTAAAAAAAGCTTAAATTAGAACGTATTTTAACAATTTTGCACTGACTTACCTTGAAAAGAGTTCACTTCATTAATTTTGTCATCTATATTGGGTTGATCAGAATCACCAGACTTCGGAAATATGGTAGCATAAATTTGTTTGTGGTGGACTTGCAAATGTTTACTGAGATTGGTAGTGTTACCATGTGATTTTATCTTCATTGAACATTTTAAACACTTGGTTTCAACTTGACTTATTTTTTCAAAATAATTCCATACTTTACTAAACTTTGGCATTTTATAAGAAATACAACAAAAAATAACTCTAAAATGATTAAATATCAAACAGAAAAAGAAAGGAAATATGTTTACAAAAAAAGCAGAAGATGAAGCATTTTAAACTGGTTAAAGTTAAGCGTTTTAAAAGTATCAACTGATATTGATATTATCGGAGTGAGTATCGATTAGTATCGAGGAAAAAAGTATCGATTTATATCGGAGAATCGATAGTATTGCAGAAACACTATTTTAATATTAAAGTTGATTAATTTTTTACTAAAATTGTTTATGCTGTTTACTCTTTGTTAGATTTACTATTTCAAAATTGATTTAACAATGTTAATAAATGAACTTCCTGATGATTGTTTGCTGACTATTTTGATTGCATACAAGATTTAACGGATTTAGTAAACTGCTTCAAAGGTAAGTGCAAATCATGTTACTTATGTAAATTGTGAAATGTGAGGGAAATCAGATTATATTGGAATAATTTATAGCAATCAATTGAAATTAAAATACGATAAATGATATAAAACTTTTATGTGAAAGAAACGGTTTTATTGAAACCTCGTTTGGCATCTTGTGATGAATATTGTGTATCGTCTGACTGTAAAAGCGCGCTATTTAAATACTAATATTATAGTTATGCTACTTCCAACTTTTATTGAAACCTCTTTTGCTATCCTGTTATGAATATGGTTTATATCAGACTGTTAATGCGGAATATTCGGATATTTTTAGTTAGCCCAAGATACGTTATATTTTGTTCAGTTGAAAATAATTTGACTAATTCCAATTACAGTTTGCGAAAAATGGCGTAATTTGGTTGTTGTCCGGACTAAAAAAGTTAAATATTTTATTGGTAAGATTTATAAATTTTGATTAATGCTTATTCTTCTAGTTAACCATTTTCCTAATAAAATCAATCATCAATTTCAGACCAACCAAATTCGCCTGATTCTGTTTGCCATCTATCAGATGAGCCAGTTGATGTAACATTTTTGAGCAAATGGTTTCCAAATTTAAGGGTAAGTTGACAGATTTGATATTATTTTTATACGATTATTCATTGAATTCTCATTGAATTCATATTGTTTTAACAAAGAAAACATTTTCTTTAGGAAAGGAAAAGTTAATCTGTTTAGAGCTCGAGATAATCATACAATGTAAGCAACTTTCAGAATGAAATCAAAATGCCCAATAACTTCTTTATTTCAATCTGAAGTCTCTGAAGTGATTATGATAGTAACATCTCTAAGCAGATTAACTTTTCCTTTCCTAAAGAAAAGGTTTTCATTCACTTTCATTGTTTTTATACAAATTTTATCGTAACAGATTTTAGACGCTTCATACCCATTTTCGGATAAAGCACCAAAGGAAGATATCGCTAAACTGATCAGAGACTCAGAATCTTTAAAAGGAATTATGTGCAGTGTTTATTCGGATTTCGAATTGAACACTAACATCGAAATGTTATCTATTTATGCATTTATTGATCCGGGCATTGCTCCGAAACTGATTAAAATCAATGAAACTGTGAAACAATTGGACCTTTGGAACTCTTCTCTAGGAGAATTCAAAGAAGTGGCCCATTATTTTCCAAATCTTGAAAGGGTGAAAATTGAACTTAGTAATTTACTGGGTAATCTTATACAACAACATATATATTATAATTTCATATACTATTTCAGTGACTTTTTTTAACTGTTTTTAACCTTTTCATGTTTAGATAATGTAGCTTATCTCTCTAATGGTTCAGTGTTGGAAAATCTTAAAATAGTTGAATCAGCTGAATACGCTAGCACATGCTGTTCATTTGTGTTCATGGATTTATGCCCAGCATTACAGAGTGCTCATCTCAAAATTGATTGCTGGCACATTACCGTCAATGATTCAATAAAACATGCAAGCTTACAAGATTTAGTTATTCAATTTGTGAGTAGGATTTTGCTTCAGATTTACATAGGGTCTTAAAGAATATTAACAAAACATCTTTATTTTCATAGTACGAACCAATCGCATGGGAGATGCTACGAAGATTAATGTCAAAATATCCAAATCTAGAGCATTTGGCACTACGAAATACCTATTTAAGGGTTGAAGAAATCAAGGAATTAATATTAATTTTGCCAAAACTAACACTACTTGATGTTCGTAAATCTTATGGATCTTATGGAATCACTCAAGAAGCTGATAATCATGTTAAGGATTATTGTACACAGTATGGCCGATCAATCAAGTTTTATTTTAAAAAAGACGACAAACAAATTGAATCTGATTGGCCGCAGGTATTGAATCGACCAAAAAAAATTTGTCGTGGATTCGATTTCATGGAACATTGTTTTTTCAAAAGTTTTCAAAATTTGCCTCATTTTTTGGATCCAATAGATGATTAGAAATGCAAATGATAAAAAAATGTCAATCCATTGCACTTAATTTTCGTTACGGTTCGAGTTGTACGATATTGAAAGAAATGTTGCTATCATAACATTCATCATCTTGGCTAACCTTTCAACCCGATATTTCGAGCACACAAAAAAAGTTCTTTAATCTTGGTTTTAATGTAAAAACGCACTTTAAATCTTACAATTCCAATATATAATTTTATTGGATTTTATTTAAAATCATTTGCACGGCTAAGCCGTTGAGTAAGTTGTTTACTCTTAGAGTTACCATTTTAAAATTGATTTAACAATGTTAATAAATGAACTTCCAGATGATTGTTTGTTGAATATTTTCGATTACATACAAGATTTAGAAGATCTAATAAACTGCTTCAAAGGTAAGTGCAAGTAATTTTATTTAAATTGTTAAATGTGAGCGAAATCAGATAATATTGGAATCATTTATAGCTATCAATTGATTCAATAAAATTGAAACTACAGTTGAATACATTATGAAAGCTCAACATATTATTCAAAATTATACAAAACAAACGGTTTCAATGAAAGCTCTTTTGCTATCCTTTTATGAATGTTGTTGATCGTCTGACCGATAAATCGCTATATTCAGATACTAATATTTTCGTTAATTTGAAGTTATGTTTGTGCATTAATATTATTACTATATTATTAGTTATACCAAACGCACCTTGTAAATCTACAATTCCATTATAAAATTTTATTGGATCCAATTGTTTGAAATCATTTGCACGGCTAAGCCTTTGAGCATTCAACTGATTTTTCAACTAAATCGACCAGCTGTGGTTTCTAATTCTTATCATAATTGCAACTAGAAATTGTTAAGATTAAAGAGTAAGGCTTTACTTTTTCGGACAAAGGGCTTAGCACTAAAACATATGGAGAGAACTTTAAACTTGGCTCCAATCAAGTTAATCCTTTTTATGTTTTTTCAATGGTCATGGAACTGGATGAACCCAATGAAACAAAGATGAAAAACAAGAAAAAAACATGGATATATGAGTGATTCTAAATAAAATAGTAAACATGCTTTCTCGAACATTGAAAGCTTTTACAGCTTCGAAAAAGATTGTTTTTCATGATTTGGAATGAAGATTTTTCAACAGCTTAATGCCTTTTAGTTTTAATCAGAAAATTGGTTCAGACGAAGATGAATAGAAATCAGGAATCGAGTTTGCAAAACAATTCAAGTTGATCTCAAAAAGGTTAATGTTTCTCGAATCAAGTCAAAAACCATGAATCTTATTTATACCATTGTTGCGCTTTCTTAATTTTTTAATTGGTTAGATAAAGTGTGATTTTTAAGAAATCTCTCCATATGTTTAGGTGTTAAATGTGAAATGTAACAGTCAATTTATATTTGAATAATTTATAGCATCAATTGAAATCTCAATACGATAAGTGTTATATCCACCTTTTATTCGAAAGAAACGGTTTTATTGAAACCTCGTTTGTTATCTTTTGATGGATATTATTTATCGTCTGACTGTAAAAGCTCGCTATTTCAATATTTTAGTTGGCCCAAGATATGTTATGTTTTGTCCATTTAATAATAATTTGACTAATTTCAATTACAGTTTGCGAAAAATGGAGTACTTTGATTGTTGACCGGACTAAAAATGTTAAATATTTTATTGGTAAGATTTAAATTTTGATTAATGCTTATTCTATCGCCATTTTACTGATGAAATCACTTATTTTCAGAGCAACCAAATTATTCGCCTGATTCTGTTTGTTATCAATCAGATGAGCCTTTTGATGTAACATTTTTGTGCAAATGGTTTCCAAATTTAAGGGTTTGTTGACAGATTTGACATTATTTCACTTTGATTATTTAAACAAATCTCATCAAAACAGATTGTCGACTTTTGCACATGCAATGGAATAATGTCAACCGCTGATACAGCTAAACTAATCAGAGATTCAGAATCTTTGAAAGGAACAATCGTTGATGATTTCTTCTTTTGGGTTTACACGGCCGAGTTGGAACGGATAATGATGAATGCTAATCTCGAAATGTTATCTACTGAACATTTGTATTTCGACAGAAGTGAAATCAATGAGAACGTGAAACAATTGTACCTTCCGAACCGTATATTTCTACCCAAAGATGTGGCACATATTTTCCCAAACCTTGAAAGGCTGCATATTCGTTGTCTTGCATGTAATTTCTATATACAAATTATTACCGGTTATTTTGAAATAATCATCAGGCATTATATCGAAAAAAATCGAAGGTTTATTATCTTTTTTTCTAATTGTTTTTTGACCAACCTTTTCATGTTTAGCCAGCGGCGATGATTACTCCAATGGTCCAGTTATGGCAAATCTTAAGATAATTGAATTGAGGTTGTCTTCTAATGATTGGGAAGACTCTTGCCGTATATTTGAAGTCATGGATTCATGCCCAGTGTTACAAAGTGCTCATGTCATTCATTCAAACGATGATTTTAAAATCGATGATTCAATTCAAAATGCAAACTTACAAGATTTGGTTATACAATTTGTGAGTAGGATTTTGCTTGAGATTCTTGAGCTTCAGCAATTTTTTTTCGGTAACAGTCTCGATCTGAGGACAAAGGCTGGGCTTATACATATGTTTTATATTTCACACTTTTTTAAACCAATGGCATTGAATTGAAAACATAATTAAGTAAACAAAATATTTCAGTTTAGTGGACTGTTCTTTAACCGAGGAATACAATTGAAATATTTAGCAAAATTGATTCCTGGATGTTCCTCATGCAATTGTGCTAACTTAGGAACAAAATTTCTTGGTTTTAAAGTATTGAAAAACTGATTATCTGAATTCATATTCATCAAATCAAACTAAAGGAAAGGAAACAGTAAGTCAGACGATATCGGCTAACCAGCCAATACTCTTAACTCATCTGTGTTTGGCTCTATTTTCTGTGTTTTATTATAATTTAACATTTAATCTAAATTAATTGAATTCAATTATAGTTAAATTTTAATTTGTGTGACACCATTCTATCCTCAGCATTCAAAAAGACATCAGCTATTGGATAATAATTTAAATGTCTTTGAAACAGGTGTAAAAGCCCCTCCTCTGTCCCTAGATCGAGACTGTTACCTTTTTTTCTCTTTGTTATTTTATTTAATCGCATAGTGTTTAACAAATGGACTCTTTTCTCTATTCTAATAGTATGAACCAATCAAATGGAACAATCTACCCAGGTGCATTTCAAAATATCCAAATCTGAAGCATTTGTCTTTACGAAATTTCTCTCTGAAAGATGAAGACATCAAGCAATTGATATTAATTTTGCCAAAACTAACACTACTTGATATTCGTGAATCTTTTGGAGTCACTCAAGAAGCTGCTGATCATGTTCAGGATTATTGTAAGCGGTATGGCCGATCAATCAAGTTTTATTTTAAAAAGGACGACAAACAAATTGAAGTTGATTGGCCGCAGATATTGAATCGACCAGAAAAAATTTGCCGTGGATTTGATTTCATGGAACACTGTTTTTTCAAACATTTTAATCAGTTGCCTCATTTTTTGGATCCAATATATGATTAGGAATGCAAAATATAACATGATTCGATCTTTTCTACTTAATTTTTATTTCAGCTGTGAGGTTCACGATATTTAAAGAAATTTTTGCTATCTTCAGAAAATTCACCATCTTCGCTAACTTGTCAACTCATTATTTCGAGCACACAAAAAAGTTCTTGAATCTTGGTGACATTGTAAAACTGCACCTTGTAAATCTACAATTCCATTATAAAAGTTTAATCAATCATATTGTTTGAAGACATTTGCACGGCTAAGCCGTTGAGCATTCAACTGATTTTTTCAACTAAGTCGACCAGCTTTGGTTTCTAATTCTTAGTTCTAGCCATAATATAAAAGAGAAAATCAAATTTGAATTTTTTGTCCATAAATTTAAGCCCACAGGTTAGAAATTGATAAGATTAAAGAGTAAGGCTTTACTTTTTCGGACAAAGGCGTTAGCACTAAAACATATGGAGAGAACTTTAAACTTGGCTCCAATCAAGTTAATCCTTTTTTTTGTTTTCGATGGTCATGAAACTGGATGAACCCAATGAAAAAAGATGAAAAGCAAGAAAAAAACATGGAGATACGAGTGATTCTAAAGAAAATAGTGAACATGCTTTCTCGAACATTGAAAGCTTTTACAGCTTCGAAAAAGATTGTTTTTCATGATTTGGAATGAAGATTTTTCAACAGCTTAATGCCTTTTAATTTTAATCAGAAAATTGGTTCAGACGAAGATGAATAGGAATCAGGAATCGAGTTTGCAAAACAATTCGAGTTGATCTCAAAACGGTTAATGTTTCTCGAATCAAGTCAAAAACCATGAATCTTATTCATACCATTGTTGCGCTTTCTTAATTTTTTAATTGGTTAGATAAAGTGTGATTTTTAGGATATCTCTCCATATGTTTAGGTGTTAACGCCTTTGTAAAGCATTACCGATTAAAGTTATTTACTCAAAGAGTTACCTTTTTAAAATTGATTTAACAATGTTAATAAATAAACTTCCAGATGATTGTTTGCTGAATATTTTTGATTACATTCAAGATTTAGAAGATTTAATAAACTGCTTCAAAGGTAAGTGTAAATCATGCTATTTATTCAAATTGTAAAATGTGAGAAATGTGAAAATCTAATTTCTATATACACTGGAGTAATCGTTTAAGGCAATCTTTAAAATTGAATCTTTTTTGTCAGTCGCCATCTAGTATATTGTAAGTTGTAGCATTTTAGTATAAGTACATATTGGAATAATTTATAAATATCATTGGAAATCACAATCCGATGAATGCTGTAAAACTTTTATTCAAACCTCGTTTGTTACCTTGTGATGAATATTTTTTATCTTCTGACTGTAAAAGCGCGCTATTTGGATACTAATATTATAGTTATGCTACTTCTAACTTTTATTGAAACCTATTTTGCTATACTGTTATGAATATGGTTTATATCCGACTGTTATTCGGATATTTTTAGTTAGCTCAAGATACATTATGTTTTGTTCATTTAATAATAATTTGACTAATTGCAATTACAGTTTGCGAAAAATGGCGTAATTTGATTACTGTCCGGACTAAAAAAGTTAAATATGTTATTGGTAAGATTTATAAATTTAGATTAATGCTTATTCTAATTGTGAACCATTTTACTAATAAAATCTCTTGTATTTTCAGAACAACCAAATTATTCGCCTGATTCTGTTTGTCATCAATCAGATGCGCCTTTTGATTTAACATTTGTGTGCAAATGGTTTCCAAATATAAGGGTAAGTTGACAGATTTGACATTATTTCACTTTGATTGTTCATACAAATCTTATCAAAACAGATTTTCGACTTTTTAACATGCAAAAGAATGGCACCAGAGAATGTAGCAGATGAAATAAACAGAGATTTAGAGTCCTTGAAAGGAATAATCGCTGATGATTGGTTCTTTTGGTCGTGCGCCATGGATCTCAAAACAAACCGCCCCCTGATGAACGCTAACCTCGAAATGTTATCTACTTTAGATATGAATTTTGAAAATGTCGTTGAAAATATAAAACAATTGCACCTCTCGAACTCTAGTCTAGTTCTACCCAAAAAAGTGACACATTGTTTCCCAAACCTTGAAAGGCTAAATATTAGTCTTGCAGGTAATTTCTATACAAAAAATTCTCGATTTTTTTATAAATTTAAAATCAATTCTTTTTTTAATTGTTTCTTGCCCAACCTTTTCATGTTTTGACAAAGGAGATGATTACTCTAATGGTCCAGTAATGACAAATCTTAAGATAATTGAATTGAGGTTGGTTTCAGCTGGTTGGGATGGCCCTTGCCGTATATTTGAAGTCATGGATTCATGCCCAGCGTTACAGAGTGCTCATATCATCAATGAGGATGATCATTTCACTATCGATGATTCAATAAAAAATGCAAACCTACAAGATTTGGTTTTACAATTTGTGAGTAGGATTTCGCTAGAGATTCACATAGCAATTTTTAATTGTAATTTTTATTATTGGCTATTAATACGTTTTTCTCAATTATGAGATGACTTTGGTCAGTCAAGTGTTATTATATTTTGCAACAACTTTTTCTCATCGCAATTGTTATTTAAATGTTATTTTTATTATTATTCGCATCTTAAAAAATTGTAACTTATCTCTATTCTAATAGCTTGAACCAAAAGGATGGTATAAACTACCAAGATGCATGTCGAAATATCCAAATCTAAAGCATTTAGCAATACGAAATGCCTATTTAAGTGATGAAGACATCAAAAAACTAGTATTAATTTTGCCAAAACTGACACTACTTGATATTCGTGAATCTCATGGAGTCACCCAAGAAGCTGCTGATCATGTCAAGGTTTATTGTAAACAGCATGGCCGATCAATCAAGTTTTATTTCAAAGCAGACGACAAACAAATTCAATCTGATTGGCCGCAGATATTGAATAGACCAGAAAAAATTTGTCGTGGATTTGATTTCATGGAACATTGTTTTTTCAAAAGTTTCGATAATTTGCCTTATCTTTTGGATCCAATAGATGATTAAAAATGCAAATGATAAAAATTGTCGATTCCTTTGTATTCGTGGATTTGATTTCATGGAACATTGTTTTTTCAAAAATTTTTATCAGTTACCTCATTTTTTGGATCCAATAGATGATTAGAAATGCAAAGCATAACATGATTCGATCTTTTCTACTTAATTTTTGTTTTAGCTGTGAGGTTCACGATATTAGAAAATTGTTCAGTCATTCACATGGCTAAGCCACCCAACTATCATTTCGACTGAGTCGACTAGCTGTGATACTCCCAAACCTTGGATAATTTGCATTTGCTGAGTCTTTGGCCCAGGAGTTGAGCTCATTCTTTTGTGTGCTACCGTAATCGTTACAGACATTGTAACAAAAATCTTTTAAAATCATTCTAATATTTTTTTTGACGTTAGATGTCTGTACTCGTAAGGTAGGGTAGATAAAGTTTGTCAGCAATTCTTATTTCTTTAACTGTAACAAAATTAACAGACATAGTGGCACCAAACCTCAGACATGGCTAGACACAAGGGCTTGAGACCAATGGTCCATTATCAGTAATAAATTAAAAAAACTGATCTTTTACATGTTCTTAGTGGTCCAAAATGTGTTGCCACTTTACTGACAAACTTATCTACCCTACCTAAAATGCAAAATATGCAAGGTTTTGTTATATAACACTATATAGATTTATAACTACCAATCAATTAAAGTTATTATTTCCAAAGTTACTCTAACAATGTTAATAAATGAGCTTCCAGATGATTGTTTTCTGGAAATATTTGATTACATTCAAGATTTCAAAGATTTAATTAACTGCTTCAAAGGTAATTGTTGATCATGCTATCTGTTTAAATTATAAAATGTGAGAGATGTGGAGATCAAATCATAATGAAATACCATTCGTTAAATACTATATCTTGCTTTTACGAATAAAGCCTCTATTCTGTGATGAACAAAGAGTATACTCTTTGACGATGAATATTGTTTATCATCTGACTATTGTAGTGCCTTATACGGATATTTTATGTTATTTTAATTTGATATTAACTTGACAAATTTTAATTGCAGTTTGTATAAAATGGCGTAATTTGATTGCTGATCGGACTAAAAAAGTTAAATATTTTATTGGTAAGATTTAAATTTTGATCAATGCTCATTCTATCATTTTTTAATAAAATCAATTATTAATTTCAGATCAACCCAATTATTCGCCTGATTCAGTTTGTCATCAATCAGATGATCCAATTGATGTAACATTTTTGAGCAAATGGCTTCCAAATTTAAAGGTAAGTTGACAGATTTGATATTGATTCACTTTCGTTTTTAAAAGTTTTATTTTTTATACAAATCTCATCAAAACAGATTGCTGATCTTTTATACACACGCAATGGGGAAACACCAATCGAAGATATTATCAAACTAATTAGAGACTCAGAATCGCTGAAAGGAATAATCTATGGTCATCATTACTGTATGGAATCCTGCCTCGATTTCGAATCGATACCAGAAAACCCTAACCTCGAAATGTTATCTACTGGATATATTGATCTAAACAAAGGAAATCAATGAAAATATGAAACAATTGTACCTATGGGACTCAACTCTAGATGTATTCGCAGAAGTCGCACATCATTTTCCAAATCTTGAACGGTTGAAAATTTATAATGGCGAAGGTACAGGGCTATTCAGCTACTTAGTAAGATGTTGAACGCCAATAACTTTGCAACCAGACATATCTTTGACCTGGGAATCGAATATAGTGAGTTTGGGGGACATTCATTTTTTATGTTTCAAGGACAAGGTCATTCAAGGTCATTTTTCGGAAATCGCTGCTGCTCATGTTAGAGGTCATTC